AATAGGCAGGATGGGATAGGATAAGTTGACAGTTTTAAAATCTAATGTCACAGCAGGGCTGGGGGAGGGAGAGATTGATAAGCGGAAGCTTTGTTTATCGATCAACTGAGAGTGAATACGTGTAACAGGAATGATTCAACACCTGTCTAGCTAGATATCTGGAAAATTCAGATGAAATAGAGATGAAAATATCCAGTTGCCAGGATGGGCAAAGAAAAAGACTGATAACTGTTTCTTTCTGAACACATAAAGCAGGTTTCAGACGCTTAATGGAAATGGCTTCAGCAAACTTGAGGAGAATTGAGCTCTTTTGCCTATAGATAATTTTCAACGACTTTTCGACGTCCACTTCATGACCAACCCGTGTCAAGGAGATGTCTGGCGATGGATGGCACTGTTTAGTAAAGCATTTGTTCCCAGCTGTAGACATAAGCACCTTTTTGGTACATGTTCAGAAAATCGTAGATATGCCCTTCTTCTTTCTGTCCTTCCAATGTAACTGCTCCCGCAGATACATGTAAATTTGTATATACAGTTGGAGTTGTTAACATGAGAAGGATATCTATTGATTTTTGATTGCACCAAAGATCAAGGTCAATCCCTGATTATTAGTATACATGCATACAGACATATTTAATAAGACACAAAATAATCGAGCAAAGAATATTCTTTTCGATAAATTCCTCCTCCTCTTCTCGCTCTACAATTATATCTATATGTGCATGTTTATATACACAGAATATTCTAGATTAGTAGTCAATAACAATATTAGTGTGTGCTTTTTAAGCAATATCGATTTGTGAAGTAAGATCACAATGGAATCATCACAGTTCATTGAAGATGCTTAAATTATAATAATAATAAAGATATAGTAGCAAATAGAATATCAACTAAAATTAGGGATTTTCACAAAAATTCTGGATTATTGAAACCTGGATGGCCAAGATAATGATAATGACTGAACTAACTACTTTTGGGTGCACAAATTAGGCTTATTAATATGGATCCCCACGGCCTCAGCAATATTTAGAAATCGAACTCTTAGAGCGAAATTGAGATTGGTAGGTATGCGGTAAATGACCCTGAAAGCATGATTAACGTCAATCTTGTGTTTTGTCTCCACAAGATGAGCCAGAATAGCTCTATGAAAAGATTTTGTTTGTCCTTTGCTTAACTAGGCAGGGTGATGTTCGGAAATTCGACGCGAAACACGCCTAATTGTACGGCCTATGTAACTGGCTCCACAAGAGCACTTAAATTGGTATATACACATGGAAGAGGCGAAATTAGGCTTTTTATGAGTCTTTTATTCCCGAACGCAGAAAAGGAGTGGTTTTAAAGATACAGCGTAATTGAGCAGCAGGGAATGCTCTTTTTATCGCCTCATTTCTAAGGCGCTGTGTTAGTATCTCACTGGTGTTATCTCCTAGGAACTGCATCTGTAAGAACAAGGCCTTTTTTGGAACTGTTGGTAACTTGGGCTGTTTTGGTTTCAGATTCAGATTCTTATCAATAAACTTTTCTCGATAACCATTCTCACTTAGCAACCGTTTAATATTGTTAAGTTCCTCGTCAAGACATTCATCCGAGCAAATCTTCCTTGCTCTGTGGTGGACCAAGCATTTTATTAGATTGCGTTTGTATTTCAAGGGCACAAAGCTGAGAAAATGTGTGTACTGGCCCGTTGATGTAGGTTTTCTATAAACACTTCTTCTTATTGTGCCATCCTCTTTTCTGGTCATAAGGACGTAGTCTAGAAATGAAATACTAGAGTCGTTTTCTTTCTCAATAGTAAAATTTATTGCAGGATGTACCTCATTAAATTTGTCCAGGATGTTCTTTGATTCCTTTTCGTTCTTCATAATCAAAAAAGTATCATCCATGTATTGACAATAAAATTCGAGTTCATTAATAACATCTTTCAAAGGCCCATTTTCTAGTTTCGCCAGGAAAATGTCGGCTAGAATGGGTCCTAGTGGCGCGATCAGAGACACGATTGGGAAGTCAAAATTTGGTGTGTACGAAGTCGAATCAAAAAGGTGATGTAATAGATTGGGTAGAAGAATTCAAAGGGTAGAAGATTACGTATATTATGAGAGTCGAGCGGAATAATATAAATTTGGTGCGTGGGGAGGGGAGGAGGGTGGTTGTGAAACAAAATGATGAAATCAGAAGTCAAAGCGTTATTAAGATGAGAGTTACCAGGGTGACTGAAGTCCCAGGAAGGATTCATTTCGGATACAGTTTAAGTTTCAGTAATTCTATTACGATAACTTCAGCAAAAATCTCAGTAGACTTAAATTGTTTTGTGTGTTGATTATTCTGAATGCTGCCTATGCTTCCATTCGGTATCTTGTGTCTAACAGGTGTGTGGTAATTGACGAGTCTAGACTAGTCAGTTCGTTTCTGGGCAAGATTTTTCATAACATTCTGTCTCCTCATTGATTTGATGATATCAGAAAGTTGGAGGCAATCGGCAGGAAGCCTTGCCTGACCTAGGTTTCGTGCTAGTTAACACTCACCGGTCAATCAGTCAGCAAGGCGTATCTGCAACCACATTGAAGGTACACCTCATGTCCATCCTTTTGAGACTCGAATCCGCGTCACCCAGTGAGTACTGCAATCAGAGACGTTACCACTGAGCAACTATTCCGGCTCACTGGCGATTGACCTCCTGTAGGACTGTATTGAGTACTTTGATTGGACACTAGTCAGTAACTAGTGTTATGCGTCTAGTCCTTTCTTTGATGCAGACTGAATTCTATCAGTCAGCCAGTCAGTCAGGTTTGCAATGTCGCCACCTGCCACTAGGTGGTTAGCTCGCCATCACGGTGCACATTGATTTAATTATATTAGATAGTTGGAGGCAATCGGCGGCAGAGGAAGCCTCGCTTGACCTAGGTTTCGTGCTGCTAGTTGGCACTCACCGGTCAGTCAGTCAGCAAGGTGTATCTGCAACCTTTAGTATTTTGATATGATTATGATTATGAGCAGTGATAAATTGTGCTCTAAACGTGGTCATCATCAGCAAATATTACTGTATAACACAACACTGTGAGACTTTATCCAAATAAATTTTTACCAACAATGGAATTATACTCTACCACAGCGACAGTGCACAAGTTCTATTCTCATAAAACGTTGCAGTAGTCTCTCTCCTGAGAAGCAGTCATCGAAACGACCCACAGTTTCTCCTTATGTTTAAAGTTAGTGCTAGCCAACATTAGGTGACAATTTGAACAGAGGTGTACCTGATGGTCACCGTTATCTTATTCAACAACTTCAAGTTAAGAGAGGATAATTTAATTACATAAGAAATAGTGTTTGCATTTGGGAAAAAACACTGAGGTTTAAAGAAGGGAAATGATAAAGAGGAATGGTGTTCAACAGATTTATTTTGACTGATTAAAAATGCCCATTGAAATTGTTTTCAAAAGAATGGATGGATACTGAACAAAGAATAAAGAGTACTCTTTTCGATAACCCCTTCATCATCATCAGGCTCTACAGTTATATATCCATCCATTATAGTGAATGAATGAATTAGTGTTATGAACAACAACATTAATGTTGCTGTTTAAATAACATCGAATCGATAATGATAATAATAATACCAGTGGATTACAGGTCAATAGCATCAACATAACAATAAGCTGAATGTCAGAAGAATTAGGAAAGATAATATGATAAATTTATAGTCTTTACTGAAGGCCGATCAGGGCAGTATTAGTGGCTAGCTGGCTGGACTTGCTTCTTCTCTACACACAGAGCACTGGTTGTTTGAGGCGAATTGCAATAGCCTCTGTTGTTTGGAGCATTCGGTGCTTCGATGATGATTTTGGCAATTTATTAGGCACCCAGTAGATGATGATAGAGAAGGAGTCTTCAATGCTGGCTGGTTGGCTCGCTGGCTTTGTGGGCGGCCGACCGGTTTGCACCAGACGGTTCAATGTCGAACTGTTGATGATGGTTTTCACTACACCTTTACATAGTGATAGTGGGATATTTTCTGGAGCGAGCGAGCACGAAAAATCAAGTCCCTAGAGCAAGCTAATATAACTCGCTCCACCACAAGCACAGTTGCAGCTGAATTAGTAGATGCAATTTGAAGTGGCCAGCTAGTCTAGGTACTTCATCTTTCAGTCGAGGTAGCACCATTGGTCGTGTAGGGAATAAGACGTGTGTGTAGTTCGCCGCCAGCATTACAAGTTCTTTGAACTGATTTTCTTAATTTCTTCGTAATTACCTCACTTGGTATATCGATCGTCCTTGAATTGCACTCGTATAAATAGAGGCTTCTTGTTTACGGATGGAGAGTGAGTAGTCCTTTTCCGCCGCTTTCTTTGTCATGTGTTTCTTGATAAATTTGTAGGGACAGCTATTTCCGATCAATCAAAGTATCATATACAATGCTTAATTCATCTTCAGTTACTTCTTCTGAGCATACAGCTCTAACTGACCCTGTGGCCGAGGGAGGGTCTTCACTAAATTTCATTTGTACTTGATAAGAACGAAGCTGTGGAAATGTGTATCCATTCTTTTGCAGATTTATTTTGTTTGATGATGGCCATGTAGACGGTTAACATCTCCAAGATTTTTCAGGCTGATTTCTTCATGAGGTACCTGCCTCAAAGGCAAAAGGGATTATTTCAGCATTTCCATCTAAGCAACGGTCTGTGCGTCGGTGGCACAGTGGTTAGGACTCTCGCTGACCATGCACATGGTCCGGGGTTCGATCCCCTGCCGGCGCACACCCGATATCTATGGTCGGCCTGTAAATTTGGGCTACCGATATCCATGCTAAAAATTCCATACTTGTACCGAAAATACAGTGTGGAATCAAGCTGTAATCCAAAAAAAAAATAAATAAATAAATAAAATAAATCTTACCACCAAAATGGGAGAGAAGAAATGATCTTATTTTGTTGAACTACTTTTTTACATTTCAGTAGTGTAAATATTTCACCATGTTTTTAAAAATGTTTTGTTTGTTTGCTTAGATGGTTCTTGTATGGCTGAATATTTACCTTTCAAAGAATTATTTGAACATCTTGGAAAGTATGTATCGAATGAAGAGCAACGCTGGAAACACTGTATGCGAATTAAGCGTTGTTTACCCAGTCAAGATAAGTGTGGTGGCTACGGAAAGGATCAAAGATATTTTGAAGGTAAAATATTTGTCAAATTTTTTTATTACATAAATTGAAATAAAATTTAAATCGCTTGACATTTTTCGAGAGACGAATGGCAGCGCTAATAAGCTGCAAAATGAACTTGTCAATTCACGAAATAGGTTGCTGTCACTTCACGCTGAAGTGGTATATGCTTCGGCGTCGTCTAAATGAATATTCCTTCCTCAATGTCATAGCTTGACTTCCCCAATGATTATCAAGACACAGGAGTCAATTGAAAATTTGTAGAACACCAACCAGTGGCCGACAGTGTTATTATTTATGCATGACCTACAACAACTAGCTAGCTCACATGGTCCCAATATCATTGACGGCATAGAGGTTGGAATTACATCTAATGTCAAGTACCTTGGACTGAGCATTTCCTCCGATCTTTCCTGGTCCTCTCACATCTTGCTAGTTACCAGAAAGATGTTTCGCTTAACGTTCTACGTTAGGAAGTTAAGACAGTCTGGTATAAAGCAGTCTTTGCTTTCTCAGTTTGTCAATTCTTGTGTTTGCTACCCATCCCTCTTTACTGCTACCCATTAATCTTTCCTGGACTACTGAAGAAAGATTTTGCTTTGCTGCATAGGGCACTAAAAGCTGTTAGTAGGGCAAGTGGGATATCGTTAAACCAACTGGTTAACACCATTGTGGATAGACATATAATGTCATGTAAGAAACTAGCGAATACTACATTGTCAGACCCTGAGCATCCTCCCTATACGCAGCTCTCTCCTTGCATTTCATCTGGTAGAACTAGAAGCAACTATAGGAGGCTATATGCTAGGACTACCAAGTACAAAACTTCACAATACCTTATCTGGCACAGCTGTTATTATGTGATGAGAAATCCGTAAGGTGTGACACGATCAACTTACTGAGGAACTCTAACAAATAGTTCCCATTAGCTTTTGTTCTCCTTTCTTTTGTTACTATTATATTGTTGCTCACATCTTCTATTACACACTAATTTTATATTTCATATCCTGTGGTGCATTGTTTAAATATGTGAATGCAATGCTGTTCTTTTTTATTTCTTTTATTTTTCTTTTTTTCTTTTTGTTGTTGTTGATTTTTATTTCTAAAATCTTATAAAATTTATGAGGTAATTAGGTGCAATATTGTAATACACGCTGAAAATTCCATACCTGTACCACAAATACTGTTTGGAATAAAGCTATTATTATTATTATTAGTTATACGACTATGATGATCAGTGCATTCCTTGATAATTTAGAAAACACAATTAATAAAGTTGCAATTGTGACAACATAAGACAAGGACCGGGCAACAGATCGCTTATTATGGAAATCAACAGATATAGATTTTCATGCACATACATTATTATCATAGATTATTATTTGCAAACAAACACAGTCTTCTGATTGGTTGTTTCTCTTTGTGTCTGTTTCTTCAAGGTCAGATCATCTATCTGCTAATTGGATCCGCCTACGCAAACAAAGTGTTCTGTGATTGGTTGTTGGTTGACTCAATCAGTCTTTGTTCTTGTTCTTATTTTTCTCATGACCAGTAATATTTGTGACATAAACATTGACGTAAATTACTGTCTACCAATTTTTCGCTAGCAGACAGCTCTCACCACATAATAATAATAGTAGTAGTCACAACTTCATGCAAAAGCATCACTGTTGTAAAGTTCCATTCTATTATACATTCCTATCACAAAAGAAGAAGGGCATTCACTAGCCTTTGATGACATTTGAAGGATAATTCCTGTCCTATTTTGGGTAATACTAAATAGATTTTAGAGGTGGTGGACTGGCCACTTTCGAATTAAACTAAGAAACATCATTTTAACATGACAGTAGGGTGACCAAATAGATCAATAATAAACGGGAAGATATTAATAAACCAGAATTTGCAAAATCTCAGCTTATGTATAACAACGTGATCATTGTTCCTCAGTATAGGGTCATTTTCGCGTGGTCAAATTGGCCAATTGGTAGAGATAACAAAATCAGGTGTACACTGTTGGATTCGATAAGTGTGTAAAATTATAAAAGTAGTGTGTGTTTCTATAATGATATTGCTCATTACATTCGTGTTGATGTTGTCACTTCATGGGGGAGGGAGGTGTTGTAACCATGTCAAATTCTGTTTTAGTCCCTCATTCCTATTCAGTTCAGACAATTTGGATTCCACTTGATATGAAGTGCTTCTGATGATATTCGACGTTCTTTGTGATTTCTGAAATGCTTTTTCTGGATGACGATTTCAATATTGTCAGAATCAATTTTGTCGCTTGATTCCATAGCGTGTAGACGACCTATGGCTGACTGATGATTTTTCAAGCTTTTCTAGTTCAACCGAAATTATTTCTTAGTGGTCAAACAGGTGCTCTACGGTGTTCATTTCTTTTGATTTTGATTTCTCTCTCTGGTGATGTTTGTCCGATGTATATCGCATCACATTCCAACAAAACACTTTATTTTATTTTATAGACACAATTAAATAGAGAATCTCTAGGGATTTTCTCTTTTTATATGGACAAGGTTGCTTTGCGGTGTGTTTGGTGTTTTGACGAAAACTCTAATGTCGAGCTCATTGAGTACTCTTCTGACGATATCGTCTGACTTTTCTGATCTATATATATATTATCTATTGAGGTCTATGTTTTCGGAGGCTATTAGTAGCATTAAATAGCGAAACGTCAGTAAAAAACAACAATATCGTTTCGTTTTTTATTCATTGGTAAATTATGTAGAAAATAGAACGAGTATAGCGTGAAGCTGATCTAGAATTTTTTTTCCTATATTATGTATATAATAAATGGTTTAGTCATTTTATCCTTAATACAGAATAAGTAATGACTCCAGAAAATGATACCAGTGGCTAACTCAGTGATGATGGCCCAGTCAGTGGTTTTAGCTAACACGTTTAATATTATGCCACCCCGCCCCCCGTTTACTGAGTATACAAAAGTTTCTCTAGTACTATTTCTATATTTGTAACGACAGAAGACAAGGACCAGAGATGATTAATAAACTCACTCGTGGAGAAATCTAAAAGCTCACTTCATCAAATTAAAGTGTATGCGCTGAAGGAAGATGTCGCCTATTAGGGTGATGAAAGCTTCTCAAATTAACTATCCAGCCAGCCCAGAGAACGCAACCACATCAAAATCATCCACCTGAGATGCAAATCTTCTCCATCATATCTGGAACAACATATTTCAAAGATGATAAACACAGGACAGTGACATCTACTTAGCGAACTAGAGTAAGTGCACAAATAACTGAAAGTAACAGGGCAGCGTGCCAAAGATGTGAAGGCTTGACTGTGTTCCTTCATTTTAACCAGTCGAGATCGGCGCTCATTGCTGAATAATGAACGTCATATGCTTATATATCCGGCTGGCTATCGACCAAAGGGAGGGTTCTCATCAGTCCACTTCGTCCTCCTTTATGGCTGGCTCTGAGACATGACCATTGAGAGTGGAAGACGATAAAAGACTAGCTGTCTTCGATCATAGGTGCCTGCCTGCGATCTATTTCCTGTGTGAAGTGGTATATATATAGGTGAGCAATAATGAAGTTAGGCGTCGGTCGAGTGTTAGATAAGGAGGGGGAAATCAATCGACAATGACACTATGAAATTACGTCGACTGAGATGGTTAGGACATGTGTTACGCATGCATACCTAGTCATCGCCTTCCTCAACAATGGGCAGTGTTAGCTGGCTGACATAGGATTGGTCAGGCTGGAAAATAGCTAGCTAGCGGTGGTCAAACCAAAACATGGCTTCACCAGTCAATGAAATCCACAACAGTTACTTTAAGCCAGCCAGCCACTTAGGAAGGTGTAGACTGGCTTACTGACTGGTTGGGGTCCTCGGGACGACAGTAAAAACCAATGAAGGCTAGTGACAATTGGTGATATGGCTCAAACTCATCGTTGTCAGTGGCTGGCACAGATGCATCCACTCCTTGTGACTTATAATTTCCAATGAAACTATATTGTTCTTCGTTATTACTACTCCTTTGTCTCACACCTCTGTGTTTACTGTCTCTCTATTATGCATTTCTTCTCTTGCTTTGTGTGCTCCAAGGAGTGGATTGTGGCGACTTGAACTGCTGTACATCGGTGCAAATTGGTTCTATGTCGAAAACAGACAGACAGACTTGCCACTAAAGATTCTATCGTTTCAGTTGGATAGATAACTGTTTATCCGATTGACATGACACACTTGCAATCCTTTGTCTAAAGACCATTTTTGACTTAAAGAACTAAATTGGGCAATAGTAAAGAATAGACACCAACTTCAAACGACGTCGAAACAGCTCATCAGATTCTTCTAGGTGAAAAGTGGTACTTAATTTAAAAAGAGGAGTGTATCTACGATGTGTATGTAATAAAAATGAATTATGTAGGGTATATTCAGTATTATTAGTATTATTACTTATTATTAACATTTCCCTTAATTACTAGAGGAACATAGGACTTCAGCTAGACGTCTCCATTCCGTTCGGTTCTCTGCTAAAGTTTTCACCTGGCTCCAAGTCTGACCACATGCTTACATCCTCTCCTCATCACATGTTTTCCTCCAAGTCACCCTCACCTATGCACTGACAACCAAATCTCCGCTTCCCTTTCGGGTTCCACTCGAGCAATGGCTTGTCTAGTCATGTCACTTGATGGTTTGTTTCCTCAGAGTTTGGCCATAATCCAATCCACCTCCATTTCTTCCTGCTTATTTGTTGCATAATTGGTTCCTGCTGTGTTGGTACACTCATTGCCAGAGATCCCACCCTGTTGCTGATCAACTCTGGCCGGCCGGCCATCTTATCTTGAGTGGTATTGAGCGAATACAGATAGCTGTTGATGAAGGTCTGTAGTTTGTTTGAGATGCTCTTTATGACGCGCTGGCCAAGTCTCTGATCGACATAGCAAGTAGTAATGACTGACTTCACATTGGAGTTGAAAATCCGGATCTCACTTTCATTTTCATGCTGAGTAGTGCTGAGTGTTGAC